TGTTGAAATAACAACAAACAAAGCCACACCAAACTAATTATACTGAGGAAGAACTGCAGGATGCTAGAAGTTTGATGTTTTGGTAGTAAAATCTAATGTACTATGTACATCAAGTGCCTTGCTCATAGGTTATCAATCTTAAATTACCCAGTATCTGAAAATCTGCAAACCCTTAATACCATAATTCAAAACCCCATTGAAATTCTCTCTCCCTGTCCCCCCTCTTCATCAGTCAACATCAATGGCTATTATAAATCTGGCAAAATCTATAAGCTTAGGTTTAGGAATACAGATCCGGCTCAAAAGAAAGTTCAACTTTACAACTTTGAGCCAAAAATGAACTTGGCTTTCCTTCAACTCATCACTGCAGTTCCTAAATTCCTTTGTAACTTTCTGAATCTATATATTTGCATGAAATAATAGCAAAAGTAGATACACAGAGGAAAGTAGCTTTCTTCTTAGCCTTTTTGTCTGTGTCCTGGTGCATTAATTTTATTTGAGACTTGCAAGTACTGAATGCAAAATGCAGTTTACTAACTATTTGGCTCCATATACTGTCACTAGCATGAAAGGAAATTATGAAAGTGCAGAATTTCAGGAGTGGAAAATTATCTGGTATCCAAGAGCACACTTAATGTGGGCCACCTACCAATTGTGGCTTGCAAAATACAAGAATGGGGCTATATCATTCATGGGCAAGATCATATTTCTAGGTCAGGTGAAGACTTTTTTTCCTTTCCTTTTTTTTTTTTTAAAAATGCACCTAATTTTCTTTATGGCTTATACCCCTCTAGTTTTAGGTTTTTTGTTTATTTTCTGTTAGGAAATCACATTGCTGAATTTTGTAACAGTCAGAGTAGGGTTCAATAAGAGATGTGGAAGCTTCAGTTCCAAAAGCAACAAGTACCTTGGTCATATCCTCCCATTCAAGCTAATGTTGAATTCTCACCACACCAGTTGCACACAAATTTTCCAGTAAACTTTATTGTAGCATTGTCCTGTATAATTTTAATGCTTCTTGTTTTATATATTTATAAAACCCTATAACAACATCTCAGCTATTTTGATTCTTAACAGGCTTGTCACTTGTCAGAAGCAGTATTAAGGCTAATTTTATGTTTCCCTTACCCCATGCAAAACCAATACTCGTTTAGAGTTCAAATTTTTCAGCCCTTTCCTAAGTCATCAATATTTATACAGGCCATTAGGATGGAGGTAAACTAGACCCAAGTGAACAACTAAGGATAACTGGCTATAACATCAGAAGTTATATCTAAGAAGTTCAAATGCAGCACTTTCCATATTTAGACCAAGTTAGGGGAAGAATTACCATGAAGGATAATAAGGGTTGCCATAAAATATAACTCCTGAAACTTTGTTTATAGTTTAGTTTTCAAGTTTCCCAAAGACTGCTACTGTTTTTGAGAAAACTGTCACAAGGATAATGTATTCATGTCCTATGGTCTTCATGGAAGAAAATGTGAAGAAGAAAAAAAGATCTATTACCTGCCCTTTTTTACTTTCAACAAGGCTAGCAAGCATTTATACCTGCCTCAGTCCAAACGCAGGTATCCAAATGCAAATGCAGGCAGAACTTTTAAAAGAAAGTTCCAAAAGTGCTTTTTCAAGGGGCAACTGGACTTTCTGGTTTATCTTTTGAAGATGTTTTGCTTCTCATCCAAGAAGCTTATTCAGCCAAGATTCTTCAGCCTCTTGAAGAAGCATCTTTGGAGCAACCATGACCTGGATGACTGAGAATCTCTATAGACTTTTAGAGGAAAGGAGTTCCTTTTATCAATATCTTAAAATAGTAACTGTAAGCATAATCTCTGGCTTGATTGAGGTCAAGACCAGAAATCTAATAAACAAGCATCAAACTCAAAGGCAAGAGACACAATGAGGTGGAATCCAGCATTCCAATTAGGGCACAGGAAGCTTAGATTGACAGTGCCAAGGCTTGGAAAGCTCACTTCAGTTGTTCTTCCAGGAAGTGAGGCCAGTATATCAGCCAAACAGCCTCCTCCTAGTTTGAGCCACTTTAGTCTAATGGTTAATGTACCAGGCTAGGAATCAGGAGACTGTGAGTTCTAGTCATGCCTAAGGCAGGATTAGAACTCACAGTTTTCTCATTCCTAGCCTGGTGCATTAACCCCTGTTTAATGTTACAGTTCTGCCTTAGGCATGACTGCCAGGGTGACTTTCGACTAATCGCCAAGAGACTAGGGTTCTAGTTGCACTTTAGGTGTGATTGACAGCAGGATAACTTTGGGCCAGCTGCTACCTCTCAGCCCAATCCATGTCACAGGGTTGTTGTTGCAGGCAAAACAGGAAAAGGAAGGAGTGTTAAATATGTTAACTGCCTTGAGTTGTTTATAAAAATAATGAAGGCGAATGGGAATCAGCATAAGTAAAATCAGGAAAGTGTGAACTTTATCTAAAGTGTTCTCTCTGCAAGAATAATGTTATCTTTGCCGTAGAATCAATACTGTCTTGTCTGTCCACAATATAAATGCTTTGAGATCTGTTTTTATTCAAAAACATACAACACAGTTTCTTACTACAGCTAATCCTCGACTTAATCCTCAACCACAACTGAGCCCAGAATTACAGTTGTTAGTCATGCCAGTAGTTAAGCAGGTCATCATGTGACCATGAACTATTTTACAACCTTTTTGCAACAGTCATTAAGCAAATGTTGCAAACAGTAAGCAAACTCATTATCCACCATGGGCAATTCCCCCCCGCCCGGAAACCAGAGGTAAATACCAGTTTCCAGCAAAAAAAAGTCATACATTATGGTCCCGTTAACTGTAGGATGCTGTAAATGGTCGTAAATGTGGGGTGGTGGCCGAGTGCCCAGAATATATTTTTGTGCGTGGAGGGGCATGGAAACTTCAAATCTGGATTTTAAGTAACCCTGAGGAGGTCCGTCACAATTTTAATCAGTTGCTAAATGACCAGTTGTAAGTTGAGGACTACTTGTATAACACCAGGCCACAATAGCCATTTATGGCTTACAGCTATAGAGTAAAGCCTTTGACAATAAAGCAAGGGTCGCAGCCTTTGCTTGATGTTTAATTGTAACATATAGCATACCTTAAAATTGGACGGAAGTTGTTAAAAAGTTTTCCATGCAATTCAGAGCATCAGAATCCAAATTTCAGGGGCATTTATTGTTTTTATATATTTATTCTGACTATGGTAGCCACATATAATTATTTTGTTAGTGTTTTCAGTAGAAATGTCAACATCATCCATTTATTTATTTGATTTATATGACCATTCAGCTCATGTATGAGGTTCCAGGAACTTTACAATAAAATGGTTAAGCACAAATAAAATGCATAATATGAAATAAAGACACAAAGCAGCTGAGCATCATGAAATAACCATCAACAAAAACAAATGTGGGGGGTGAGGGTGGGAAGTCAGATATATGACACTGTAACACAGAAGTTTACCTGAATGTGACAGTAACAATTAGAAATCTTCACAACCAGCAATCTTGCTCCATCTCTTATTCATACGATTTGCTTAACAACCTTTTCATCAGAACCAACTGCAGTCACTAAGCAAGGGTTAGTTTTTCTGCTATCACTTATGGAGCCCGTATGTACAGACAAAGCTGCCTACACATACAATTTTTTGAAAACTTTGCAAGGGTAATTGCAGAAATCTTAGCATTTTACATTTTGACGTAAGAAAAATCTTGTTGAAACCAAACCCACAGAACTTGCTTTCTTCAAGTGCTGAAGATTCTTGTAAAGTTCTTCTGTTCTTGATTGCATTTGTGGACAGAAGATCTATTCTATTCTATTCTATTCTATTCTATTCTATTCTATTCTATTCTATTCTATTCCGTTTCAGTTTCCGTTTCTATTTCTATTCTATTCTATTCTATTCTATTCTATTCTATTCTATTCTATTCTAT